CGGCACAGAGTTGCCTTTGGGAGCAGCGGATTGGGGCTGTGACATGTGGTTGCCGTGGCCCTGATCCTCCCTTTTGCCGCCCCCAAAAGACTGGCAAAATGCCGCTCCTTTTTGGGGTGGCAAAAGGCTGCCCTAAGAGCTGGCGCTGCGGCTCTTCCATGCCCTTTTGGCGCAATATGTCTACACGCTATGTCAGGAGGGCATCCTGGCGCCATGCGGGCAGGTGTGTGGTGTCAGAACTGTGTTGGGGGTCCACCCCCACACCGGCCCTTTAGGCCAGTCTATCTCTATGCCTCCAGTTATATCTTGATAGTCTTTGAGAGCTAGAAACCTGATCTTCTTTTAAAGAGAGAATATTATGTATTACAGTAGTCTCTCCTTATATCAGTAGTAATAGCAAGTACATTTCTATACTGCTTATCAGTGAACTAAGCACTCCCTAAGCGATTTACAGTGTGTAAACTAATTGCCCCCAACAAGCTGGATACTCATTTTAGCAACCTATGGAAGGATGCCAGGCTGAGTGGACCTTGGAGATCGAACTCACAACCTTGTGGCTTGCAGTACAGGCATTTAACCATTGCACCACCAGGGCTCACTTATCTGTGGTGGTTAAGATGCTGACTCTGTTGATTGCAAGATCGGCAGGTTGGCAGTTCGAGGCCCAGGTGCTGCATGATGGGGTGAGCTCCCATCACTAGTCCCAGCTTCTGCCAGCCTAGCAGTTCGAAAACATGCAAATGCAAGTAGATAAATAGGTACCACTTCAGTAGGAAGGTCAACAGCGTTCTGTGCAATCGTGCTGGCCATATGATCCCAGAGTAGTCTCTGACAACGCTGGCTCATTGGCTTAGTAACGGAGATGAGCACCGCCCCCTACAGTTGGACACGACTTGACAACCTTGTCAATGGGGAATACCTTTATCCCTGAAACCAGGGATAGTCCTGAACCATAAACCTGTAATGTTTTCAGACCATGATTGACTGTGGCTAACTGAAATTGTGGAGAGCAAAACCGCAGATAAGGAGGTTTGCATTACTGTTTTCACACTGTGGCTGACTGCGGCTAACTGAAACCATGGAAAACAAAACTGGGGCTATGGTTGAACATTCAGAATTAACTAAGATGGTAAGGGCAGATGAGAAGGCCCTGAAGAGGAAGCTCCAATAGATTTTGATTCAGCTTTGTAATTTCCCCCTACTGATGGAGTAAAAGGGTCATAGACAATTCTTTAAATGTCTGTGGTGTAGTGGTTTGAGTATTGGACTTTGACACTGAGGACCAGGGTTTGAGCCCTGGCTTAGTCATGTAAACCCACTAGGTGACCTTGGACAAGTCACACACTCTCAGTCTCAGGGGAAGGCAATGACAAACCTCTTCTGAAGAAACTTGCCAAGAACATCGCCTTAGAGTCGGAAAGAACATGAAGGTACACAACAATAACAACTGTCAGCAAGGCTGACTTCAGTCTTTGGGTGAAAACTAGTGTCTTGTTGCAGGAAACTTTGCTAGTTGGCCTGACATACTGTGGGAGGGTAATCTTTGAGGTGCTTGTTTTCTGTCTCGAGTCAAATGCCGTCACCTCTCAGTACCGTCTCTTCTCTGTCTGGATTTGTGATTCAGCTGCCCTTGCAGGAGACGAGGGGGTGGAGGAGGAGGAAGGAAGGAAGCTGGAATGTGTCTCTACAGAGTGAGAGCAAACTCTGTGTTCAGCTGTTTCAGTATGTCCATAAAAGGAAACTCCCTGGTTTTAAGTCAGCTGTGGGAGTTGTCTCTTATCCCTCCCCAACACACACACACACCAACAACCTCCAGCTCCAATCACTGAATTGGTTAATCAGGCCCATTGGAATTCATAGAAACAAGAACAATGTAATTCCAACATGGTTCTGAAATCAGCTCTCCCCACCCTGTAGAAAGGAGATTGGCTGCATCTCAAAGTTTGGACCTGAATAAGGAGTGAAAATTCATCATGGTTGCCTCTCCCTTCACCTTTTCCATGCATGGCCTTAAAAAAAAGGTGCTTTGCCTTTGTTTTTGTTAAAACCCAGCAATCCACACATATATGCCTCCTTAGCCTACAGTTCTCTAATGTTGCCAAACCTTTTGGCAGAGCCCAATGAGGCATCATCAGGACAAACTAGTTTTGTTATAGTGCAAGCTTGCTTTGACCTCAGCTTGCATCAGCAGTTTCAGAGGTATTAAGTGGATTGAAAGAGTGGCAGTTTGCCTGTACATACAGGCTGCAATATACTTTAATATTGTGTGGAAACTAAAGATAATGGGAATATAGCCTGCATCCCAGCACTATTTATCTGCTCACCTATCATTCACAGTATGGAACTGTAGGTAAAGATGTGATTACCTGGCTGGATCAGATCAAAAATCAATTTGATGTAGCATTCTGTCTTAGTGATTTTGAACTTGGTTTTTTTTCTTCTTTTCTTTTTGAAATCCCTTTGGGAATGCTGTTGATTATGTTTCCTCTTTTTAAATATATTGATGGAAATACAAAATATAGGTTTCATTCACAATGAAGAGTAGTTCTGGTTTCTTAAATTGTAAGCTGAAGTATACGTACAGGTCATTATAATTACCGGTATTTATTACTATGATTTTTTTTATCCTGGCATTCCTGCTCAGGGTGATCTATATGGCTCTTCCCCCCTTCTTCCTCTCAACAAATCTGCTAGGTAGGTTAGTTGAGAGACAATGACTGACCCAAGGTCACATAGTGATTTTTCATGGCTCAGTGAGGACTTGAATCTGGATTTTTCAAGTATTAGTCCAGTTCTCTAACTATTGTGAAACTTTACATTTGCCAAATCAGAATTTCCAGGTACTAAACTGGTAAGTTTTTCATAAGTGGGAAAAGAGCTGGTTTCTTTTCCACTTAGTATGCCAGTGTGGAACAAATGGCCAACCTATATATGTGGATAATTTTTTGTGGATTTACCGGTATTGCAAGACTATTCAGTATAATCCCCTTTAAGAGCCTCAAATCGATGTCTGTTTACAATATTTAAAATGTAATTGACTTAATAAATGCTTAAATAGCTCTGATTTAAAGAAAACTGTCTCCTATAAAAATCCATAAGAATACTTGGGAACTGTCGGTGCATCAAAAGCATTATCAAGGCTGAGCCAAAACTGGGTATGTCTGTTGTAATTCCCTTCTTGAAATACTTTATAGTGTTGCAGCATTGCTCATCCCATTTTGTCAGGTCTTGTTGCGTTCTTGTTTGTGTTTTGCATGCTGGGTGCAGGTGGAGGTTTAAAATAGCTGCATTCACAGCCCCTTTGAAAGGACAGAAATGTCGGAACAAATTTGCTGACTTTTTATAAAAGGCAATAAATCTGAATTATTGTAAGTCAGGTAGGTTTGGAGGATTGAAATAGGGAGTTCATAGATGAAATTGATAACATTATTTAAAAGAGGATTTTTTTTAATCAGCTGTGACATTCTTGAATCTGGTAGGTGTGCAGTTCATGCAATAAACTGATTTAATATACCCAGATTCTAGCCATACTTTATAGCTCCCTTTAAAAAAAATAAACTAATCAGATTTCTTTCTTTCTCTCCCTCTATCTCTTTTACAAAATTGCTTAGAAGCTTAAAGCTCGTCCCTACAACAGTATTAATCTGTGCTCAATGCACATTTTGAGATAGTGAAACACCCAGAAGCATAGGTTTCTGCATATCACTTTGCCAGCAGCTCATTCATTATGGGGCAGATCCAGTCGGTTAACTAACTGCCATATGGTTCTAGTAAAGAGGAGGGAGAGAATTACCTGCAGTAACAGAGCATAACTTTTTATGTTGTCCCAATCCTAACAGAGTACTAGTTCTATTTTTCCTTTTTTATGTGTGATGTGATCATTACCATGTTAAAAGTATGTGAGAAGCAGCTTACACATTAGGGTGTGGTGGTTTTAACCATGTTAGCATAATTACCTGGGGGGGGGGGAGGAGTAAGTTTGCTGACTTGATTAAAACAGCCCCATCCCACATCAGAGCCACTTCACACCTGGACACATTGTGCAGTTTTTGGGGCCCATAATTCAGCATGGCAGTACCAACTGCATCACAAAGAGGATTTGCAAATTAGACTTTGGAGCTGGACTGGCTGTGAAGATGAACAAGTTTAGATTGTTCATCATAAGCCTAAAAGAAGCAGTCTAGCAGTGCATCTCAAGAGGGGCATTACTTGGAGTGCAGACTGCATTGGGTGACATGCCAGAGGAGGGTGACAACCCAGTGAGGTGGTTGCTCACCATCCATCCCAAGATGGCCACTCCTCTCCACTATCCAGGGCACCTCTGCCATCCACCAGTGGGGGTGGGCTGCTGTTGCCATCCACCAGCCCCTTTTGGATCTGGCAGGTTTGCTGGCTGAGTCAGGTAAGGTTGCTGCTAGCTGTCAGTGGTGGCAGCTGCCGCTACAGACTCCTCTTCTTCTGCAAACAGAAAGGAGTCATGGCCACCCCTGCTACCATCACCTCCCTTTCCCACTCTACCCTGCCAGAAGCCCTGCCAGACCAAGAAAGAGCTGCCAGGCAGCAGACACATGGCATACCACTGCTTGCCTTGCCACCCCTTCCTTTCTGCTGCCCTGCACTTCCTTGTGGTGCAGGGATAGTAGGACAGGACAGTGTGTAGGAACGGAAGGCAAGGCAGTTCTCTGAGGCCGCTGGTGGGAATTGAGTGCTGCTGTTCTAGAGCTGGCAGGGCTGCTGGCTGAGTGGGCAGCAGCCCTGACAGACCTGGAAGGGCCTGCTAAGTAGCAGAAGCACCCTACCCCCATCCTGGCAGAGGCAGCCTGGCTGGCAGAGGGGAGCAACTGGGGTGGATGCCAGGCAGCCTGGGGGTGGTGACATCACTTACCGCACTGGGGTGACATCAACCCTAGTGATGCAGCTGCATCTCAGACTATCTAATGTGGGATTTGGCAGGGTCACCCCCATCACCACTAATATGCTAGGACTGGTTGTTGTTGAAAGCTAGTGTGGCATAATGGTTTGGGTGTTGGGCTACGACTCTGGAGACCAGAGTTCAATTCCCAGCTTAGCCATGAATCCCACTGGGTGATCTTGGGCAAGTCACATGCTCTCAGCCCCAGGGGAAGGCAATACAGCCCCTGAACAAATCTTGCCAAGAAAACCCCATTATTGGGTTGCCATAAGTCAGAAACAATTTGAAGGCATATAACTCATACTCACTCATTCACTCAGGACTGCTACCATATTTGTTCCCATTGACTATAAATATTTCTCTCTTGAAAACTTGCTGTGTGGACTAACAGGCAATGAATCATGGACTGGAAGAATCCCTGGACAACCACTTTGAGTAGCGCTGGAGTAGGCTAGAAATCCTTTCCTTTCCCTCATTTGAATGAATGAGAGATCTGTCATATCACCTCCAAAGCGATGTAGAATTTTTCTTATATTTTTTATTGTGAAAAGGAAGTGTTTTGAGAAAGTCTTAGGAATTTTTAATGCCCTATGGATGTCTCGAGCAACTCTAGTAACTTAATATTGAATCAGATATCAATCGAAATCTCCTAATATCTGCAACAGGAGGTCAAATATTACAAGAAGCCCTTGCTAATTTCCAGTTTGCATCCTAACAAGAACAAACCTCTTTAGGCTGCATGTGTCTCCCTTCCACTTGAACTCAAATTACATTATTGGTTCTGTTAATGACTGATTCTACAGCATCACATTTTAACATTCAAAATGTTTTGTTTTCCAATGTTTTTCATTGAAGAGCTTGGTAGATGGCCCAGAAGTGAGTGGCAAAAAACTCTCAGGTCAACATGATGGCCATGCCTGCTGATCTGTGTACCACAATGACTTTCTAGGCTACTGGCAAAGGGAATGTCAGTAATAAGCCATTTTTCAAAGAAATACGTATTTACTTCACCTTTTATTCTACCAGCAATCTGGAAGGGTGAACCTGTCTGACTGGCTTCCTTGAGGAAGGGAAAGATGGCAACTTGCTGCTGTTCCTTCCTTAGGTGTGTCCAATTTTTAAATGTTCTCTTCAGGAGGAGGCTCTTTCCTTAATCATAAGAATCCACAGCTTGGAGAAGTTACTTTTTTGGACTACATCTTTGAGAGACATTCCTCCCCACCCAGAAGGGTCATATACACAGATGGGATGTGAGCTAACCCTGACTGGCCAAGAAAGAGATCCCATGGTTGTGATGGACAGTTCAATCTCTTTCTCAGCCAATAACACTAGCTTATATCCCATCGATATATAAATGAAATTGGTGCATTTATGCATAGCCAACTCCAGATAATTTCTAAATGAATTTAAGAACACTGATCACAATAGAGATCTGTAGGAGACTCCAATGTTTCGATCACTCAATTGAAAGGACTGAACATTTAACACCTACTCTCTGCTTCCTCTTGAAACAGTCATCCAAGAGGACTTCTTCTCTTTTCCCATGACTTGCTCAAAGGGGACTTTTTTTTATAGAATCATAGAATCAGAGTTAGAAGAGACCACAAGACCCATCCAGTCCAATCCCTTGCCATTCGGGAATACACAGTCAAAGCACCCTGACAGATGGCCATCCAGCCTCTGTTTAAAGACCTCCAAAGAAAGAGACTCTTCCATTGTCAAACAGCTCTTACTGTCAGCAAGTTCCTCCTAATGTTGAGGTGGAATCTGTTTTCCTGTAGTTTGAATCCATTGTTCCATGCCCTGTTCTCTGGAGCAACAGAAAACAAGCTTGCTTGCAGCCTCAATATGACTCCCCTTCAAATACTTAAATAGGTTGTTGTGTAAAACAAACAAACAAAACCTTTTAGGAGACAGTGGACAGAATACTGTTAGTGAATTATGCTTGCATAAACAGCCAGTTACCCAACGTTTTGTTTTTTTTACCCCCGAGCTTGTATAAGATGGTCTCAGACACCTCCTTCAAGTGTTCAAGTGCCACTGTGTTCCTGCAGCACCACCAGAAAGACACACAGAGTTCTACCCTCCTCCCACCAATATGGATGCTTGGTTTCCTTGCAGTCCCTTGTATTATGCATTATTCATGCTGGCTTTCAGCCCAATCTTGGCCAGTGTCTTACTGTTGGGATGGGCAACATGTAGTCTGTGGGTCACATCTGGGCCTACAGGGATGTTTCTGTGGCATCCCTGAAAACAGCACTGCTGAAATTAGGTAGTAAAACAAGAAAGTCATGTTAAAGCAAGGCTGTCATTTTCTGCACTTCTCCCTTTCCATTCCTTTCCAAAAGTTGTCCTTCTGTTGGCCACTGTCCAGTCTTCTGGTACTGCACCAGGTAGAGGGAAATCTGAATTGCCACAGATCCAAGGAAGGCCCAAAAGTCAAGTCTGCTGTGCTGATTCCTGTCAACAAACCAGGTCCAGCAATTTTCAGCTTCACCAAGCTAATGGGCCGTAATTGCACATTGAAGACCAAACTACCCTCAAATATGTTGTGTTACATTAGGGCTAGCTTGCAGCAATACATTGGGGAAACCCATTCTTCACTGCAGCTACTGTGATAATTGTAACTAAATTGAGAAGCAAATAGGTCATCAACCCCGCTAGGCTCAGTGCTCTGACCCCATGAGTCCCGGTTCTATTGTCGCTGAGGGCAAAGCTGGCATCTCTGAGCTGGTGCTTGATGGATAAAATAAGCTTTCTCTACGCTTTCTCTCTCCCTTAGGAAAAGGACCTCTGGCCAGGCTTCCAATCTTACCAGAGGAGATTGATAATATCTCAGTGGGTGGTGTGTTCTCTGTACTTTCCTCGTCTCCCTTGCTCCCACTTGCTGCTCACCCGCCTTGTCGGGTGGCAGCAATAGGTGTTTCTTTCAAAAACAAATCAAATAGATGTGCATTCCAAAAGTGGTGTGTGTTTATTTTTAGGCATTCTGAGGATGGCCTAGAAATGAATTTCTTTTCAAAAGTCCTTTTTGTTGTGTTGGCTTTCAAAACATCATTCTTCCCACTCTTGGCTGCCTTGAGGTTTTTTTCTGCTTTAATATGAAACCATTTAAAGAGTTTTTCATTGGTGTTCATAATAGCTGCTCCTTTTCCCTGTCCGGAATTAAGAGTGCCTGGTGTACCGGCTTATACCTCTCTCCTCCTAGGAACACCCTTCTGAGTCACTCTCTCATCATGATGGGTGCACATAGCTGGTAGTACAGTGTTACAGTGGATTTTCCCCTGAAACTACATTTATCTTGTTTCAGACTTTCTTGTGTCTCAGTATGAACATTCAGAGAGAGAGATTTACAACGCATGGCAGTTGCAAATCAGCAGGGCAATTTTTTTCTCTTGTTTGTTTAAAAAAACAGAGGAATGTAAGGGAGTGGGGAAATGGCATTCTCTTGACTTCTGTTAGCACAAAGAATAAAGTTCCACTCCCCAAGTCATTTTTAGACTATACTGTCATAAGAGTAAGGTTAAAATAACCCAGCAGAGCAAAATGAACATTTTATGTATATTTCAGAGAGGTAGTTGTGTTGGTCTGTTTCAGTATAAAAAGGAGGAAATTATATTGTGTAGTTATTGGGGTTTTTTGCCCCTTTCAGTGTATATACACCTCTTTCCATAGTAATAAATGCAGTAACACAAAGAAAGAAGACAGAGTTCCTCCCCCTAAGAGTAAACAGTTCTAAACTGAGGTAAGAGGCAGAATATTTTGACATATTCAAAGTTGGTCATTACAAAAGAAGCCACTGAATAGCATCCAGATACTGAAATGGCATAAAAGTAACAAAATGCAAATGGTAGTGTTTAAAATATTTTAAAATATATGTAATTTAAAAAAACCACAAAAAACAGATTTTCTTGCTGCAAATAGCAACGAGTGTGGCTTTTAAAAATTCCCTTACAGTTAATAGAGCAGCAAACAAATGGTCCTCTTGTCTTTTTCTTTGTGATCAAACTGTGTCTCTGAATATAGGCTTTAAATGCTTTAAATAAGCCACCAGCCACTTCCAAACAGATTAAAGAAGCCACTTTCACCAACTGAAGGCTCTTTTACTTTGGGGGTGCTGCAGCCTGTGGTAGATCTCAAACATGGAAACTCGGTCCTAGACCTATAGAATGTGTCCTACCCTGCTTTGTGGAAACATTCTATTCTCAGTAATTCATCAGTAATGCAATTATAGAGCTCAAAAGAGGAGAAGCAAAATTACGAAAGGTAGAGGTAAGCCATCATCAGTTTAGGGAAATCTCTTATGCTAGATAGAGGGTAGCTTCATGTGTTATGCCTTGTGGGACTATTGTTAATGTACAACGTGGTAAAAACACCAAAGGAATTATACTGCATTTGTGGAGAGAGCTGTGCTCCTTGTCTCCAAAGCTGGCATAATTACCCAGAGCTCTGCAAAAACTGTGAAATCTTTCTGTCTTTGCTTTCATGTTGGTGTTCCTGTCACATGTTTCAGTTTGCAAAGTGTTTAGTCAACCTCATGCAGTAAATTAGCATGACAGAAATTAATCCTGGAAAATTATTCTTGTTATCAAAGGGTTGGAATTAACTGAAAGAGGAGAGAGTTCATGAGCTGGACAGGAAGTTGGAATCTATGTGGTATCGCTTCTGGTATGGGGAGTTCAGAGCTTGGCAAAATTTTCTTTTGAACAACAGCTCCCAGATTTCCCCAGGGAGTTGTAGTCCAAGGAGTAATTTCTTCATGTCCTGGGGATGTTGCTAAAAAGAAACACACACACTCCAAACTGCCAGGTATAGGTGACAAGAAATGGCATACTCCTTGGAGCAGGGCACAATATTAAAAGCTTATTGAAGCATTGAAGATTGTTCATTTATCTAAAACTTGATACTGGGCAGGATTAACCATTAGCATGAATCATGACAGAAGTTCTTTAATCCAGTTTGTTGTTCTTGCAGAGCAGCCATGGAGGTGGTGAACATGATGGAGCAACCCATCAAGGTTACAGAATGGCAACAGACCTACACTTACGATTCGGGCATCCATTCCGGGCTGAACACCCAGGTTCCTTCTGTCAGCAGCAAATGCCTGGTGGATGATGATGACCTCTATGGGAAGCAGTACACCATTAAGAAAACCACCA